CCGAACTGGCCGCGCTGGCGAACCCCAACTCCAATTCGGACCCAACTCGGGCTTTTTAATCATGCGTGAACGGTCAGTTCGAGCCTTGTCTTCGTTTTCATTTTCCTGTTTGATGTAGGGACGTGTGGCTTCAGTTTATCCTCTTGGCCCATTCAAGGAGTGTATAGCTGTTCATTTTGGGGCTCTATCGCTTATAGGCTTCCATCTGGCCTCTTTTGTAGTCGGTCGCAGGCACTTTTCCAATCAACTTGAGTATGTGTCCTTTGCTAGACTGCTGCTGGCCTTTTTCCTGCTGACTTCCTGCCGATTTTATATTTTTCATTTGAAAAATAGATATTTTTTAATGCCTTTTATTAAATCGGCTTAGATTTATTGTACATGTATTTCATATTTCTATATAGGGATGTGTGCGTGTGTGTGTCTCTCATATGTGCCCATCGATGACACTGTGTGTGTGTGTGTGTGTGTGTGTGTGTGTGTGTGTGTGTGTGTGTGTGTATGCCAACTAAGCCCTTTTCTTTGGGACTTTGCTGCGATGGTAAAACTCGTCTATGTGGATCTTAAAGCAAATTTTGTGCATCTAATAAGATTTATTATTTTGTGGGCCGCATCAGCTAAATGGCAAAGTCCAAGTGAAGCTCTTAGGCAACATTAAATTGCTTCTGCACAAGACTCGCCACCGAGTATGAGTTTTAATCTAATGAATAGGATGAGCTTATTGGAAAGGAACAGGATCGTCCACTGATTGCAGTCAACAGCTTACATTTTGAGCTTGGCAAGCTGACGTACTTATTCGGTTGATACCCAAGAAACGCTCAACTTTGCCACTTTATCTTTTAGCTCAACTGTATTTTTGTCGCCCAGCCATCTGCGTTCTTGCCGCTCCTCAACAAGTATGTATTTCCTCGCATCAGCAATTCGAAAGCCGCAGGTACATGCAAAAAGCATTTGAGCAGCTGGTAGTAGGCTAAGCATAGGTAGCTATTTACCAAAATCTGTATTCCCTGTAACTCCCCCGGGAGTGTGTACCTGGAAAACTTTTACAGGTTGTTGATGAAAACATGCAAAATCATTTTCACTCTACACATTTTTGCAATGAAACTTTGCAAGTAATGTTAGAATGCTCTACACAATGCGACAACTTTTTTTAAAGGCTCTTCACTTGCACCCAAAAATATGTTTAAGTAGTGCAGCTTGTAAAGTAATATTAAAGACTATATGCCTATCTCTATAAATTTTGGTACTGCATAAATTTGATTCAACTCTCCAACAGTTTAAGTCTGAATCAATTTAACCAACAACTAGATATATGTTTCTTCAGAATTTATTAGAATTATAAACTTTAATCGACATTTGTTCATTAAAATTAACAGAGAAATTATACGAATATATATAACCAAAACATGCCATTTGACGAGAGCACTAAAAATAATGGAAAACATTTTGCTTATTGGCCAAAATACTGAATACTGTTGACTCGGTCAAGTGAATACAAGTGTGATTGCTTTTGTGTCGCATCAATCCGTCTGCAAGAACAGCAATAAATCGATAATAAGTGCATTACAAAGTCTTTACCGAAGTTTGTCCAGGCGTGGGAACGTCTATACTCTGATAGCCAAGGTATCATAGCATATTTGTTTTTTATGATGTCAGTCGTGCTAACAAGCTGCTCCAAAGATCGTTATTTCTTGGATACGCCAACCCTATTCTGTTCTGTTCTGTGGCATCTATTATCAGATGGTATTATTTATGGTATCAGAGTATTTCGCAGTCGGGTGTGCCCTATTGTAACGTTCTCTCATGTTTGAGTTTGGCTTGTGCACATGATTCGATAGCCGCAGACGGTTGAGGCACTCAGAAATTATTTGACCCAATATCTTAGAAGTTTTTGGCCAGTTGCGAGCAATTAAATGCATTGTACGGCTTTCGACTTGATTAGATTTGAATTGTTCGCTTTGCATATGCACTAAAACTTTACGGAAAATTCGGTTTGGCTTTTCTCTTTATGCAGTAAATTTATGAAGAGATAAGGGACTGTTGGGCAAATTCTAGCAGCTCTATCCAATATGTTGGATAGAAAACTAAGCCAAGCCCCGCAGGAAGTGTTGTAATTCGCACTTCAGCACACATATTCACACATAGACATAGACACATACACATATACATATATACATACATATATACATACATATATACATACAACCACATACCGTTTAACATGTCGTATGCATGATTACGGAATATTAAACGCCGGCCATGTTTCTGTCTAGCTATTTTCGGGGTTATCGGGGGCGGATTTGTCTGTTTCGTTGGTTATGCACAAATTTCTGGTTGGTTGCTTAGGTTTTAATTATGGTTATCACTGTTGGCTCATAACTGAAAAATATCCAGGCTACGAACGGTTTTTACAGCACTATTGGAGCATAGTCGAGCACATTGCTGTTGCTGTTGCCGTTGCCATTGCCATTGCCATTGGCTCAGCTCATATTCCCGTACAAGTCATGTAATCTGGCAGAATTTTCATCAACAATTAAAAGCATTTTCGAGCCGCTTATATTCGCATCGATTCGAATTGTGGCATCCCAGACTCATAAAACGTTACCCCTGGCCCATTGCCATCCAATTTTGTGGTTTCAGATTCAAGTTATTGGCATTTTTATAGCCTGCTCTGCTCTGCTCTTAAGGGCTGACTGGGTCATGAATTGTGGTGCGGGAACCAGTAAATTGGTTGATGAGTTTTAAGAGCTATTTAATGGGCAGTAAAACTTTTTAGTTATGGTTTCAGTTTTAACTCGTAGCTTATCCACTAACAAAAACGTTTATACCCTCTAAAAAGAAAAAATTGCCCCGGCAGGTTATCAATAAGTTTCTGATGTTTGCTAACAATTATTTACTTATGATTTGATGTGCCATGTTTTACCAAACTAATACATACGATTCCAATTTACACAACATAACCAAGAGTTGTTTTTAATGGAAATCTTTGTGTGTAATGCACACACATTTGTCTTCAATAAGCACGGCCTGTATCAATAGCCAAATTCAATCCGTTTGAGCCCAGTTTTAATAATGGAATCGATTAGGTAACCAAACATTTGTAGACATGCGTCTGAGAATCAACTCATATTTGACCAATAGTTGTTCTAGTGCTTCCCAAAAAATAATTGCATTTTTATAGGAGCCAAACTGATATCCCTTAATGGATTTGTTTGAAGACAGCAGCCCTGTGCCTACAAATATGGAATTAATTAATAAAATTTGCAGTCAAGGGGCAGAATACAAATACTTGTAAGCAAAAGATATGCCTCGGCAAACAAACAAACCTGAGCCAACCCTCTAAGGAGACTTTTTACAATTTGTTCAAGAAGTTGCCGGTACACTTGACGTGTATGTGTGTGTGTGTGTGTGGTTGAAGCCGTTGCCCAGCCACAGAAGCCACACACACACCTTCAAACATAAACTAATGGCCAACTGGCACAGGACGAAAACCAAACAAGCCAAACAAAAAATACTTCAATAAAGTAAATTAAATATTTGTGCATGTAATGAATATTACAAGGGGGTAACCAAATAAAAAACTAGCTTTTATATTAAATGATTTCTGCGATCAAGTTTGTGCTCATACAATAAACTTATTTCGTCTATATTTGTAGAAATAATGTTTATTGAAAATCAAACCATGAAGTTTAATGTGTGAGTGTGAAAATGCTGCTTTGCTACAGACATTTTTCGATTTAAGACTTGGACCCTATGCCTGAGGTCCTTGAACTCTTGAAGACAAAGTTCTTGGAGAAGACTGACGCCGTCGCTGTTTGGCGTTAATTAAGCATTTGTGGCACTTGACCTTTGTTTAACTTTTGGTAAGCATTGCCGCGGGCAAAGAGCCAACACCTTTTTGATGTTGCCTCGCTTGCTGCTGGGAATCGAGTGATTTAAGCTAATTAGGCGAAAATTAAATTAATATTTGATGAATTATTTGATCATTTTGTGAGCTACGGCAAAATATCTTGAAGCAATACTTTACCCAACAACAAAATATCGTATGACTATAGCGACAATGAAGAAAATTAAACTTGGCCATAATGAAAACCCATTGCCAGACAAATTGAACATTATTTGTTTTTCGCAGAAAAGAACTGTAGAAAGTAGAAGAAAAGTTGCTGTAAAACATTTGATAAGCTTGTCGCTAGGCAGGCTGGGCACAATATGAAAAAATGAAGCACTTTTCTTATGCCTATGCCAGGTAGTGTGGGAATGGCAGTTGGTAAGGGAATACTATAAAAATATAAGGTGAGTCGCGAAAAGATTTGCTAAGAAAGTTATGCCTAATGTTTATTGGACAAACTTTTGCATTTTTACTGCTTTTTCAAAGTTGTGGTCGTAATTCTGGTGGCTGGGGCTCGGCCAGACTTTGCCCGGCTCCTCCGTTTGGTCATTTCAAATCTTAAATTATCCAGATAGCCCAAGTTTCATTTTGCACGAGGAGAAATACGGAGAGAGAGAGAGAGAGAGAGAGAGAGAGAGCGAGAGAGAGAGGGAGAGCCTGCAATCCAAAGATTGTCAGCACATTACACCCATAGAAGCTGTGCTTTGAGTGGGTGTGGAGGCAAATTGAAACTTTTGAGCCCTGTTGCTATTGGCAATAATCATTGTTGTAAAATTTTTGCTATTAATTTGTTTATTTAAATTTACCTGAGACTGTCTGATGCTTTCTTTGTTTTGCTTACGATTATGCAAATATGTTTCAGTAATAATCTGTTTGTGAGTCAACTGATGCGTTTTACTTACGAGTTCTCAAGTTTGTTTAGAGTATAGGTTGCCACTTACCTGAAAATAAATATGCAAAAAATGTAAATTAAATGGAGAGCTTGATTTAGTTAAAGTACACTACGTTACTTCATTCAAAGTCGAATAAATAATCATTCTACTTTCTGACAGATTGCTACAAGTTCAAAAAATGTTTTCTTTAAATGCATTTCTCTTATTTCTTTACAATGCATTCTTCATCTTTTTGACAATGGGCTTAACATATGTACCCTATAGAGATGGTAAGCATGCCAATGGTTTCCTAAAGCTAATAACCAAACCATTGTTAGTGAACCAATTCTTCTGGCGTCACGTACCGATTGTTGGCAAATACATGGCCACAGGGGACTTAAAGACTGATCAACTCTATGGATACAGCTTGTTTTCCCAAAGCTTTTTGAATGTGAATTTCATCATTAATGGCTTTGTGCTAATGCCAGCCTTTGTGCAGGTGATTTGAGCATTAATTTTCATCATTAATCATTAATTGATCTTGGTTTTCCCTATAGCAGCGTCGACTTGGATTTTTACTAACCATATGGAATTTCTTGTTGTTTCATGTTATAATGGCTATGCAGGCTATTGGTCTATGGTCACTCAAAGAAAAGATCGGTCTATACTATATTATTTTAATCACGTGTGGACTTGTGTCTTTGAACGCATTTCACTTGCGGCTCATCACAAAACATAAACTCGGCTTTTCACACTCTACGCAAAAGGCAGCTGTGGAAGAAGTGATGACTGAACCCATTGATTAGAGGGGCGATGGGGTTTTGCCGTGAATTATTGTGTGTCCACTTAACTGGGTCGTTCTGCCCACACACACACACACACACACACACACACACACACAGACACACAAATCACTCAAAGGCTTAGTCTGTAACCTTCGGCACCACACAGTTACACTACACTACACTCCAAACACTACGCACCAAACTACAACTACAAATTCTAGGTCGTTTGGTTCAACTAATAAATATGCCAAAAATACGAATCTTACTCGAACACCAACCACACACACACACACACACACACAATGGCATACGGACATATATAAATGAATCGCAGCTGAGGGCAACGAAAACTCTGGAATAAAACCATTAAATATTTGCGGTTAAACGCACCAAAAACAAACCGCAAAAGTAAATCATATCCAAAGTAGACACCGGACATGGAAAGGAATTTCTCTGAGCTCGTTTTATTTTATTTTATTTTTTTTTTTGCTTCCTCGTACGCAAAAATATTAGATTAGAAATTAGGATAACCATGGACAGCCAAGGGGCCAAGTCAGTCAGGGCCGGATAGCCGGCAGGCCGGCAGGCAACAGACCATAGCGCCATTTACTTGATTGGGGAATGGGTGGCGACCTCTCAGAAGTAAAGGATGGGAGCCAGGAGCCAGGGGGTGGGTTGGGACTGGGGGCAGGCGGCTGCTAACCAACGGCCTGCCAAAAATTCCAAATGGTCCATGGTGAAACATAAATCATTGAAACTGACATTTCGCCATTTTACTGGATTTGTATACAGCAAAGGTTTCGCCTATATATACACATGTACACACATATAAACATGTGAATGTGTAAGTTCTCTTGGCAATGTGGTATTTCTCAAAGATGCTTGAAATGAAAAAATGACCGATATTCACCAATTTCCGATATTTATGCAACAAGCCCAAGCAAGCAGCGTACCCATTAAACAGTTAAATCAACGACTCTTCACTTGGCCACAATATATATTTGATGGTGGCCCATATCACAAAAGCCAGCTACGGTTTCGAAAAAAGAAAACTAAGCCATATAAATCATTTTGCAATTGAATGCGGACATCGCTGACTGACGGCCACACACATTGTCCAAGGGTCTGCGAATACTGAAGGTCGACTTCTGCACAATTGATGGCTGCATTTTGGTTGGAGTTTTTGGTCTTCCATTGGGTCACTGGCACGCCTGGCTGCCTATCGAGACTAATTTTGACTAGAAGCTTCTGATTTGCAGCCACTCTTGATAGAGGTGTGGTAAATGTGTATTTTTAATTGTATTATTTGATCTTTAAAAAAAATCTTAAATTATCTTGCTTGACTTATAATAATTAATAATATAAAATAAGGAAACATTGTAAGCAATGGATATTAATACAGATTTACGTTGTTTATATGCTGTACTGTGCACATTGATTGTTTAATAGATTTAACGATATATATCGAAAGGGCACTGGCATTCGCCTCAAGCTGGCAGCGCCGACTGTCTCTTGAGCAAATCTGCTTTCTGGCAGTCAAGTTGGCAGCTCTCACAAGTTTTGCTGTCACCAAATTCTACAGTTTACATATTACATACATTGATATATATATAAATATACATATTACAAGCGAATAAGGCGATGTTGATGTTCAGGGCCATGAGATATTCGGGACTGCCACGTTCTGTGCTCCTGCTCCGCTTTGCCAGTTCGATTGTCAGTCGAAAGCACGACTACGATTTGGTGGTGCTGGGCGGTGGCTCTGGTGGTTTGGCCTGTGCCAAGGAGGCGGTGGAGTATGGTGCTCGTGTGCTATGCTTTGACTATGTGAAACCAACGCCAGCGGGCACCAAGTGGGGCGTGGGTGGCACTTGTGTGAATGTTGGCTGCATACCCAAGAAACTGATGCATCAGGCGTCTCTGCTCGGTGAGGCTGTGCACGAGGCAGTCGCCTATGGCTGGAATGTCAACGATCGGGACATAAAACCCAACTGGAAGAAACTGATCCAGTCTGTCCAGAATCACATCAAGTCGGTCAATTGGGTGACGCGTGTCGATCTGCGTGACAAGCAGGTGGAATACGTCAACTCGATGGGCGCCTTTGTGGATGCCCATACCATTGAGTATAGAACAAAGCAGGGGGAACGAAAGCAGCTGAGCGCTGAGAACGTGGTAATTGCTGTGGGTGGACGTCCGCGTTATCCCCTTATACCCGGAGCCATCGAGTTTGGCATCACCAGTGATGATATCTTTAGCTATGAGACGGAGCCGGGACGCACCTTAGTTGTTGGTGCGGGCTATGTGGGCCTGGAGTGCGCCTGCTTCCTCAAGGGACTCGGTTATGAGCCCACAGTTATGGTGCGTTCGATTGTGCTGCGTGGATTCGATCGCCAGATGTCCGAGCTACTAGCTGCAATGATGACAGACCGTGGCATTCCATTTCTCAACACCTGCATTCCCACAGCCGTGCAGCGACAGGCGAATGGCAGTCTGCTTGTGAAGTATCTGAATACAACCACTCAAAAGGAGGAAAGTGGCGTCTTCGACACAGTTCTGTGGGCCATTGGACGCAAAGGACTCACCGAGGATCTCAATCTAGTTGCGGCTGGCGTCAAGACGGTGAACGATAAGATCGCTGTTGATCACACGGAGGCGACCAATGTGCCACATATTTATGCCGTCGGAGACATTATCTATGGCCGGCCAGAGCTGACACCTGTAGCCATTCTGTCGGGTCGTTTGCTAGCGCGGCGCCTATTCGCTGGCTCTAAGCAGCTCATGGATTATACTGATGTGGCCACCACAGTCTTTACACCGCTGGAATACTCTTGTGTTGGCATGTCCGAGGAGATGGCCATTGAAAAACTTGGTGCCGAGAATATCGAAGTATTTCACGGCTATTACAAGCCGACGGAGTTCTTTATACCGCAGAAGAGTGTGCGTTACTGTTATCTCAAGGCTGTAGCTGAGGTTTCCGGTGATCAGAAGATCTTGGGATTACATTATATGGGCCCCGTGGCTGGAGAGGTCATTCAGGGATTTGCTGCTGCCTTGAAGTCGGGCCTAACCGTTAAGACCTTGCTGAACACGGTCGGCATTCATCCCACAACTGCGGAGGAGTTTACCAGGCTATCGATAACGAAGCGTTCGGGTCGAGATCCGACGCCAGCATCGTGTTGTAGTTAAATAAATTAGCTTCCAGCTGATAACTATTCGATTTTGAATTGCTTTAAATATGAGATAAATAAGATATAAAAAAATAAAAATAAGAAATAAAGCTCGCTATCGAAGGAAAATTGAACTCACTGGACTCTAAATAGAAATATGATAATCACCGCTGAAATGAATTTTCCCATAGGCTTCCCTTATATATAAATAACTTGATATCAATCGATATCAATGGTGTGAAACTTGAAGAAGAAGATATAATTTAGTTTTGACTGCCAGAAAAGAAAGAAAATATATTTTGCTCAATTATTACGCATGCTGGTCAGCTCTATGAACGTCACCCAACGGTATCCAGACTCATTTCCCCATCATTATCTAAGCTCTTTACTTATTTGCATGTTTCTGTGAATGATTTTACCACAACTGTCTATGGGGAGGCATACAAAAAGATATGACAATATACTCAACTCTGACAATTTAGCAGAAAAGAAAGACTAATTGTTTGGCACAGTCTTGGAGAAAACACTTTGCCCATAGCACAAATGCCAAGTTGCGTATTAGGAGCAAGTTGCAACACACTTATTCTTATGCGAAGCATTCCCTGCAAGAAGCGAACTCACACGTTTTCTTGATTTGACATTTCAATATAAATGACGAGAGCGAGAGGGAGAGGGAGTCCGCAGTGTGACCATTTTTGACATATGAAGTTGTAATTTATGAAGTTCACGCTAAACAAAAAAGCAAATAGAAAAAGAAACCAAACAACCAGTTGGGAGGGCTTTCGATTTTCGTATTCGCACAAAGTTTTCTTTGCCGCCTCGGTTGTCGTTTCCGTTTGTGTTGCACGAGTATCTCTGACCCACAATCATATGCGTGCAATCTGACTGATGGCGTCGCAAAGTATGCCATGTTTTTGCTACGCCTGCCAGTCGCATGCCACAATAACAGCAGTTCTTTGGGGCAGGCAGCAGCAAAAAAAAAGAAAGCAAAAATGTTGATTAATGTTTACTTCCGATTTGCATAAATCTTGCTTTAGCATTTTTTGGGCAATTTTAGTAGCACGTTTTTGCTCGTCTTCTGCTCTCATTTTTTTTTTGTTTTTTTGGCCGCATTGTTATAAATTATTTTTTTTTATTGGTCCGGTTTGGTTGGTTGCCGGTTCGGTCCGTGTGCCAGAGTCTGCTCGTTGGTTAAATCGTCTGCCCGAATTTCCAATTTTATTTATACGTTTGTTTGCATGGCCACGAATTGGCAAACAAAGCGCAGCAGAAGCTGCGAATCAGGTGAACGGGGTAAACTTATAAACTTGGTTGCAGGTCAAGGCGGTTCGTGGGTGCTACACAGAGGCATCACAATTGCTTCCTCCAATTCGCCATTTTGCCATTTGGCCAAAGCATCCCGGTCCATAACTCTTCGATTAGCTTTGCCAACTCATTTAACAAATGGTCTGGCTGACAGTAAGAAAATATAACAAATTTACCCGAGAAAACGAGAAACTGCTTTTAGTTTCCATTGCAACACCTTACAATCATAAATTGTGACCGCACCACCACCCCCCGTGCCACATCGCCCACCGTCAGAGGTCGTGCAATGAGTGCGCTGCAAAACTTTTGCTACCCGAAAAGTTAAAGCACCCGCGGGTAATTCGATAAAGCGTAAAATTTTGCACTTAAACTATTTTCTTGCTGGCATTTGAAAATTGCATTGTAGTTGCATTCGTTATTATGTTCCTCTTGCCGTTGCTGTGGCAGTGGCAGTGGCAGCTCCTCTTCTTGGAAGTTGGATGCCAACTGTTGTCAGTTGACCTGTGTAAGAGGATCTGAATTACAATATAATGCTGTTGAAAATTCGTGGCAGACATTCTGAAAACCTGAACTGATTTCGTGGCAAGTGGCTGTGAATATTAAGTAATTTTCTGCACTAGAATCGAGCGTAAAAAATTGTATTTTACATATTGAAGGGATATATTTGAAATTCGAAATTGAAATAATTACATTTTACTTTTATTAAGACTTATTTACTGACAAAAATAAAAAGCTTAAATGCAATGACTAAAAACATAATTAATTGAAATTAAATAACATATTCTTGTTGAGTGTTTATAGACAAGTCAAACATCATGATTCAAAATCATAATTACAATGCACTTAGTGTTCGTCATTCCATAAATACAAAACAAAAATATAACTATTTGACCCTAATTGCTCACATAAAATATATTCTTATATATAAATATATATTTTTATAATTGTTAATTTAATATAATATATTGTTCTGAGCCATTAATTCAACAATTTGTTAAATTCAATTAAAATTTTTGTCAATTTATTTATGTCAAAGCTAGTTATGCCAACAATCTTGAACCAGTTGTCTGCTAAATTTGATTATCTCTCTGGCTTTTGCTGTCTCGTCACTAAATTCATTGGCCACATACTAAGACAAATTGTCTTCAATTTGCCGTGTTGAACAAAAGAGTAGAATGCCCGAATGCAAAACTAACAGCACAGCTGTAAATGTAATTTAATAATTACCATTAGCAATCATTCAGAACGTTGTCCCGCACAATCATTTTGAATTGAAAACAAGTTTGGAAATTAACATTGGAAATTAACATTGGAAATTAACAAACAAATATTCACACATTATCAACTTTTGTTTAATTACACATGCCTTAGAGATCCAGATGTAGTTGCAGATACAATGGCAGATTTAGATACAGATGCAGATGTAGATGCTGATGCAGATACAGATACAGCCACAGACTCAATGGGAGTAAAAGCAAATACGTCTGCTGAATTCAAGAGTAGAACAAGCACAGCTTTCACACACAAATACAATGTTATAGATGAAGGGCAAGTAGGATTTGTGGTGTAATTTCGCAAATGGAAATTGATATATTTAATAACTAAACTAAATAGAAAGCATGCCTTGCTGTTGGGTTGTCTGCTTGCAGAGTGTTTGTTTATTTGAATGGATATTTAAAAAGAAACTATTGAATCATTGAATGCCTATTGTTTGGACAGCGTGGCCACAGAACACAGGCAAATTTCAAAACCAAGTCCTTGGCAAACAAATCAAACGCTGATTGCAAATTTAATGGGATTTAAAATTTCAAATTGCTAAACAAGTCTTAAGCTCATACACAGCCTGGCCAGGCTGCTAGGTGAGTGTGTGTCTATGTATATATATATATATGTGTGTGTGTGTGTGTGTGTGTGTGGATGTCACGCACAACGTCCAGTTCTCACAAGCTCGTTATGTGCGCCAGCCGTGTAACCACAAGCTGCTGTGGCTGCGTGCCTAAAGTGGAATTGTTTGTAATGCGCTGATGACGATGACAACGACGACAGCCTCGATAGATACATTATCAAAGAGCAAGAGCGCAATAGAAAGAGAGAGAGAGAGAGAGAGAGAGAGAGAGAGAGAGAGATTGAGAGAGATACAGCGAGAGAGAGTCATGTAGTGGGGTTTAATTGAAATGAGAATTTTTATTTCATTTTAGCCAAGTTGCCAATTGACTTGCACGAAATGGGTGTTTTTACCTTAATTTCAACTGTGATTGCTATATTTAAGAAATGTGCCATTAGTTGTAATTAAGACTGAGAGAAAATAAATACAAATAACATCTAATAATATATGAAAGTCCACAGCTGACTAGACGCAAGCTGTGAATGAAATATCTATTGACCTGCCGCCAGTTAATTGGCATAACTAGAAAAGGCGATAAAAATAATGCAGTCAATTATATATATTTTATTTATATTATATTTATATTTGTTGTGTATTGTAAATTTCTGTCTTTCTTTGAATATATATATGAACATATGAAAGCTGGAAAAATTGTTGTTTTGGTGGAGAAGCAATTACATTTCCGATTTTGAAGAGATACTTTTTAATCAACATTAACGCATTAAAGCAGCTCTCGTCAACAGTTGCCAGAAACTTCTACAAGCCTCTCATTTTGAAGGGCCTGCCGTCAAGTGTGCAGTTTTATTGTTGACTGCAGTGGATTTTCTTTCACTCCTCCCTCTCTCCGCCTCTCTGTCCCTCTCTCTCTCTCTCTCTCTTTCCCAGTTGTGCTCTGTCTTTGTTGTACTCACCCTCTGGGAGTGTTTAAATATGTGTGTCGTAATTTAATTTCATAAAAGCAATTGTATTCCTGCCATGTGGCGACTAAGTTCGCCGGGGACTGCCACAAGCCGAAAGCCTCGACAAACTTCGCTCACATTTGCCGGAATGACAAAATGACGTTGCCAGCAACTCAGAGCTGGAGTGGATTGGAGTCGAGTCGAGTGAAGTGGAGTGGCATGGAGTGGAGTAGCGCTGGCTGCCAGTGAGAGTGTGCGGCGTATTTATTTTATTTTTTAATGCCGACACCGAGAGCAACGCATACGACAAGTATTTTTATTGTCTTGTTTGCCAACAGCGACGTCGACGTCGGCGTCGAGAGTCGCATATTTGACATTGGACTTGTGTGTCTGATAGCGTGCCAGCCAAAACATCACAATGGCTGGCAACACTGACAAGCCGGCGGCCGGCACACACACACACGCACACGCACACACACACACACATACACACACATACAACACATATAATTGTGCCTGTTTACTCTGTGTGTGCGTTGATTTTTTTTTGTAGTTGTGACTCCGACAACGCGACGTATGCGCAACGTGTGGCAAATACAATGGAAGCAGCTGCCTCACACTCACACGAACGCACTCCAGTCATATCATTTATGCACAAACGTTGCCAACTCTGCTTACAAATGCAACAAAGTCGCCGACTGCCTTTTTATTTGTCTGCTCCTCTCTCATTTTTTTTGTTTTTTTTTGCTGTTGCAAACTGCTACAGGGATGGCTAAAGGGAAGCTGCTCCTGTTAGCGAGCTCAGCCTAACCACAAAGAGGAATTTACACACTCATACACACACACACACACATAGCATATGCGATGGTATTCTAAAAACAAAGGAAAGGCGCTTTTTAAGCACTTTCATATTAAATTAAAATTGCAGCCAACAGTTGAAAACGGCAGCTGTAACTCCAAA